AGAAATCTGTGTTGAAATAAATTGGCTTTAATCTTGCCCAAATTTTCTGGTTATTTCCTTGCTGAAGAAGACTGCAAGGAGCTTTAAGGGTTGTGGGGCTATGTTTTGTATGAGCTAATTGCCTGATTGGTTTTGTTGAATATAAAATCTGCAAAACTTCTATTGTGCATAGATTTTTTTTTTTCCAGAATGAAACTATGAAGAAAGCACAGCCAGATGCATCAGTGGCAGAGACTGGAAAGGTGATCAAAATGGCATAATGACAATGACTGTGTTGGAACTGCGTGTCCTATTCACTGGTCTTAGTTGTCCAAAAAGGCCAGTGTAAAGCACTGTTGTGTGTGTATAGGAGCCCTGCATTTGGGAATAGTCTATGGACTGGTTCTCTTCCAACCACCTGGGACTGGGAGTGTCTCAAAGGTGATGCTATCTCCCTCTAGGAGGGAAATGTGCAATGTGCTTTAGTGCCCTCCCCCCCCCCCTTTTTATTTTTATTTTTATTATTTTTTGGATGGTCATTGGTGCTGCAGCCTTGGAAATAGCTGGTTCAGTTGCCATTCCATTAAGTGAATGTAAGGCCAGTGCTGTTGTGGAGAGAAGTTTAAATTGGAAAGAGTACTCTGAGTGGAGGGGTTAAAAACTGAACCCCCTCCTTGGCACCAGAAGTTGTAATCACTATATTCAGGGTTTGGGATGGCTCTCTAAAAACAAATCCTAGGGTGTAGAAAGAACTTGTCCTCTGCCCAAATTTGGAAAGAGGCAGAGAAATGCGCACTCTGCTGAAAATTCCCCTGCAGCATAACATAATGAAAGTTAGTTCCCTCTTCCTTTCCGGGGTGAGACACTGTTGAATACTAAACGTAAGATTTACTTGTGGTGTACATTTAACTCCTAGATAAAGGAATTTGCAGTTGTATTGCTTTGGTTCCCTCTTCTCAATGATGCCTTTAAGCTTGGAATCAGACTGCAGGAGAAACTGAGAGTTTCTGTCATCTGATAGTCAGTTCTTCCTAGAGGGTCTGCATTGGAGATGGGGTTATTGCACCAAAACTGTGGTAATCTTTTAAAGTCCATGTTAATGAACAGTGTACATTGTATCAAAGGCTTAGATGAGCATTTTAAAACTGCTGCTCTGGAACAGTGCAGATTTCTTCCCTGCTGCCTCAAACGAGTCCCTGGATAAACAGTACACATATACAGTAGGTTGATGGTGCAGTATGTAAAGCATGTGATGTGCTGTTGAGATCTGCCTATGTTTATTTACAGAAGGTTTTTTCCTCTTTTTTTGTGTCAGGGTTACAGACTGTACATAGATCCTTCATGCCATTTCCTCATTCTTAGTCTTATGTTGGACTGTATTTTTATTTTCTATATAACATGCATAAAGGCTTGAGAATGGTGCAGGAGTGGCCAAAGTTGCTTATTAGGCATACCACTTAATACTCTTACCAGTCAGCTATCTTCCTCTCAAAGGGCTGCAAGTGGCATTAGCTGCTAAATATTCTTTCTACCCACTAGATGGAAGTGAAGGACTGTCACCTGTGTTGACACTGAGTCCTTCACTGCCTTACATTTTGTTTGTTCATTGTGGGGTTTTATGGGGCAAGAAATATTGATTTCTCCCCCCCCCCCCCCATCATGTAAAAAGGGGAGGAGGGGTAGTAAAATGAATTTAGTATTTATGACCAATAGCTCTTTGAAATCCTGCAGCAGTTCCAAGTGGATGCAGAAGATACTATGGAATAGTATAAAGCTGGCTGGAAAACAGGTATGCTGAAGGAAAAAATGTGCCTAATTTTAAAATATTGTGTTCTGAATCATATATGATGTATTTAAAACAAATCACATTGTTCCTAATGATACATGTGACTTGCTTTCATTAAATACTTTAAAAGATTTTAAATTTCTTTTCTTACGGGTTTACTAATTTGCAATTTTTATTGTTTGATTGTTCGAAATAGATCAGACCTTTAGATTTATTCTGATTGAGCTCAACATGTAACAAAGTTATAGATATGGGTAAAATATGCAAATGAAGAGAGATATTGTAAAAATTCTATAAAAAAGTACAACACTGTTTTTAGTTTTCTGTGTCTTCTTTCCCTTGCTGAATATTGAATTTGCAGCCAGAGCTAGATGTTTACTTTGCATACTAATCATTTAGAGACAGGATGACTAAGTAAACCTGTTTGTTCTTTTTAGGATTAGCTAGCTGATACCACACCTTGCCGCACAGCATCACATGACGGTTTGGCTTAGGCACCCATCCTGCATTTGGTTCCATGTGGATTGACCCCTGTGCTAATATAGAGGCTCATTTTTCCCCTTCCCCCTTGGAGGGGAGAGGTTTGGAAGGTGAATGTATGTGGTTCAAGTTGTAAGGTTGAGCCACAATTTTTCAAGGGGGTGGCTCACTCCTATACAGTTCCTGTACTAGAGTGAGTGTTCACTACATGGAGGTGCACTCTGTTGCCACAGCAGCTCCCATACTATAATGGAGAGGAAATTGCTGGCAAGGGTGATGCTTCCCACTGGTCCACTCAAGCTGCAGTTTGTTGGCTTTCTAAGCATGCTGCAAAGTCTATTTATTTACATAGGCTTTTTCCCAGTGGCTGGTTGGTGGGAACATAAGGGATTTTCTGTAGCGAGGGGTTTTCCCTTGAGCTGGAGTCTCCTCTGGCATTTGGCCAGACTATACAGTAATTTGGTTTCCCCTTTTGTACATGGCCAAAGAGAGTTGTAATAAGTGTGTTTACTGAGTACACATTGATAACCTGGACTGTAAGATGTGCTATGCTTGAGTGATCCTGTAAGGGCTACGAGAATCTAGGGCAGGGATGTTCCTCTCACATTATAGAGAGCCATATCAGATTGTAAAGTAGCTGGTTTCATTCATTTATTGTGGGGTGTGCTGCTTTTTCCAGTACTGCATCTTCTAAGAGCAGAAGTGAAAGTCAGTGGGTGCGCCCTGATGCGCTGCTCTGGCAAGAGCTGGCTGAGCTGCAGCAAGAGCCAGCAGGGAGCTATTTAAAGAGGTAGCAGGGCTCTGGGTTGCAATAGTACAACACCTGTAAGCAATTTTAAGTTACTTTCCTTGCTGTCTGAGTAAAATTCTATGGCGTGCTTAAAGCAAACTAAACAAATGCCATTGACCTTTCCTGCTTCCACCTCCATGTACCCCTGTCCCTATGTGCCCTTAAAGTTTGTTGCCACACTCCCTTGCAACTGACAGCATCCAAGCTGCTTCTCCCCCTTTAAGAAACTAAATCCCATTAATGTGTTATACTGACTTTTGAAGTCATGGCTGCAAAAAATTGCACTGTTAAACCAGTCCAAATCTGCATGCACATGCTTGTTTTGGTTTGGGTAATTTCTATAGATTTAACTTGTGTCCATTCCTAATAGGGATGTAATAGTATAGCTGATTAACTGATAAGCAAAAGCATATAGGTTAATTCTATAAACTACATGCATTCCCCTCTTCCCCCCCATCCCCCGTTGCCAGTAAATTTTTTAGCAGGCTGGCCAGCAGCCCAGCTCAGTCCTGGCTTGCACTGCGTCCAGGACCTACCCCCGCTGTGGCTCTTCATTTAAAGTATTAGGAACCAGGTGGGCAGGCAGCCTGGCTCAGTTCTGGCTCGTGCTGGGTCCGGGAGCTCAGACCCCTCTCCCTCTGGACAGCGGCTGCTCAGGGACTATAGAATAGTTGACTAACCAACAAGAATTCATGAGGTTAATCAAGTAACCGATATTTATCATCTCTAATTCCTAATCAATTGAAGCTCAGTCAAAGGGTGAGCACTGGTTTAACTAAAGTAGTTTAAAATGCCACTCAAAAGTGGGACAGTTCTGCCTGTGGACAAACCCATATAAACCCATATAAACTAGATGCTGCCAATAGTATTTCTAGCAAAATGGAGCCTCTTCTCCCTCTTTCCCCCCCCCCCCCCCCCCAATGTTTACATTTCTTCAATTTGTAAACATGGATTTTCAGGTTTCTAATGGAGCAGAAGCATTACATTTATTTCTGTAAATTCATTAAGTATCATTGCAGAAGCTAATGGAACAATACATGGGTGTGGAAACTTAGTTGCTTTCTGCAAAAGTGATGGAGTGTGTGGCTGCACATTACACATTAGCTTAAAGAACATTAGCAGTGAAATGCTGCATTTAAAATGTTTAATGTATGTAGGGAGAGTTTGGTTAAAAAAGGTCTGAGAATTGGTTCTGGGTTTGTAATCTAGGCTCTCCTGCTGATTAGGAGCCATTGCTTTTTGGTTAAGTCTACACTTAAAACATTAAAGCAAGAAAGAACGGGCATGACACCAGTGCTAGGAGAGAGTACAGCTCCCAGCTCTGGGAACCCATTTACAATATTTCTCTAACTCAAATAAATCGAGGTTTGTTTAAAGTTTGTGAAGTGCTTTGCACTCCTGGGTCACAGGTGCTATAAAAGGCAATGTATGTTCTTTGGTGATGAACGAACAGCCTCTGCAATATGAATCAAATATAAAGATCCATTGACGTGTTTTGAGCAACTTGCATGAAATTCTCATTGTAGACTTTGAGCCTAAATCTGCTCTCTTGTCATAACAGTATAAATCAGGAGTGACCCCACTTTAAGGCTACGTCTAGACTGCAAGCTTCTTTCAAAAGAGGCTTTTTTGAAAGATACTTTCAAAAAAGCCTCTTTCAAAAAAGAGCATCTAGACTATAACCAGTACTTTCGAAGAAGCACTGTTTGCATTCATTACATGGCGCCTTTTTTCAAAAGAGCACTTTCAAAAAAAGGCGTTCTTCCTCGTAAAACAAGATTGTCCACTATAGGAAAAAAAAGCCATGCTCTTTTGATTTACTTTCGAAAGAATGCGGAAGCAGTCTAGACGCAGGGAAGGTTTTTTTGAAAAAAGGCCACTTTTTTCTAAAAAACCCTGTAGACAC